AAAGATCGAGGAGCGAAGTGGAGGGGGGGGAACTCCGTAAGGAGGGCGCTGATTGGTGGGTTCGTACCTGCAATGCGTCACTCGGACATGCACACTCTGGCTTGGGAAGGCGGGCACCCCTCCCCCCGTCCGCAGTGCGTGAGGGCAGAAACGGCCGCACAACCCCGCGGAGCGGCTGCTGCCGCGCCGTCCAGGGCCCCCAGGCCAGGGCGTCAGCCGTGTCCTTGGGACCGCATTTGCCACCGCGTTTTGAGCCATTATCTCCGTGCTGTGCTCCGGAAAGCCTCACCCACAGAGTTACCAAATGAGATTCGCTCTGCATCGTGCACAGTCCAGAAAAATTCCCACCTCGCGCTGCAAGCTAGAGATGCTTTGTCGCTTGGTAACGTTGTTTAAAAGAACGGGTTTCATAAAATCAATAAGGTTGGAAAAGACCTCTGGGATCGTCGAGTCTAACCCGTGACCTATCACTACCATGTAACTAGGCCATAGCACCGAATGCCACATCCAGGCTTTCCTTAAACACCTCCAGGAACGGTGACTCTACCACCACCTCCCTGGGCAGCCCATTCAAATGTCTAAGCTCCCTTTCTGTGATGAAATTCTTCCGCATGTCCAACCTAAACCTCCCCAATTAGACATTTTCCCTGTTCCTCCCCCATTTTCCCTTTTAGGAAACACATATGCCCTGGTCCTGCACCTAATGACAGGTGGCCAGCAATTCTGAGCTAAAATCTGGAGTCTTATAAGGGTTTTCTATGAAATGCACTTGGACAAATGGCTCCAGGTGCAATTTTCAAACTTGCACGTGTATTTTTAAAGATAATTCAATAGAGCTGCAGTATTGGCTGAGTTCAGTGATAGCAGATCCACCTGTCCTCTGTGAAAACCACAACACTAATTTTTGGGACCATAAATACATCATTAAACTTTGGGGGCCTGAGTCAGAATTTTGTGACCTTAGTTTGAACACAAATCACAGTACCAATCACATTTCAATGAGAAATTACCTACTTCCATACCTACTGAAAGATTTAGTTGATATTTACACAGTATATAAACAAATAGTTTTTTATACCTATCTGTGCACTGTCACTACACAAACTAGAACAATGGCTCTCACTTTGCACACTAAAGAGGTTTTACACATCTCAGTTCTTTGCAGCCTTTGGTTTATAGGCCACAGAAACAGAATGGTCTTGGGTGGGGACTGACATGAATAAACTCATAAGACAAAAATTATGTGAGTTTTCCCCCTGAACTGTAATTCATATTCTCAGAACTGTTTTCTTTTTAGTATGATCTTGTATTCACTGAATTCAGAAACAAAGTGGAAGAAAAAAAAACCAGAAGAAGGCCTATTTTCTTAAAATAATCAGGGACCCCTTTATTAAGTACAGTGCCTCATCCTCACTTCCTTGCTTTGTGGTCATAGGCAATACATAAAACACCACCATATACTTAAAAGCTGGCCTTCAGCCTTGAAATCTGTTTGCAATTACTCTTTTGTGATGCACTGGTTTGTTAGGCCTCCTTTTCCCATACCTGTATTTATAGTCCACAAATTAAGCACATCTGAATGATTGTCTTTTCAAACTCTGATAATATTTTTTCAATGTGTAATGTGTACCTAGATGAATAAAATACTTCCCAGAGCAGGCAATGACTGCCAAAGTTATTGTTATGCATGCCTCCTCCAACCACTGCCATAGGAAGCAGGAGCAAATCCCTGACTGTGGTCAGGCTATTCTGGATAAAGACAGCTGAGCTTCAGTTGAATCTCCCTCCTCCCTAATGCCCGTTTTGGTTCAGTTTTAAGGATTGCACTGACATTCCCAACTTCTTTACATTTCTAGAGGTGTGAATCCATACAGAAAAGTTCTTGACCAAAAATTCATCACCTGCTCTAGATTTGGCATACAGAAGTGGCATAGCAGTGCTCAGAGTGTATGCCTGTCACATCCTCAAATCTGGAGCAGAGCAGAGCCCCAGTGCATTTTGTGGAGCAAAACCATCTCATGTGGAGACCTTAGATTTGTCAACCTGGCAACAGAATGCCCACGGGCGCATGGTGATGGGCCTGATATGCCAAGGCTTCTCCTGCGCGTCTGTCTTTTATCCTCACATTACCTCAGAGAGGCAAAACATTGTGACACCTACATTGCTCAGGTGCCCAGGCTCAAGGAATCTATTGAGATGTTGTAAATTTGCATTTCCGTGAAACTGGTCCTGAGGGTTTTGATGAGAAGTATGTGGAAGGGCTGTATTGAGACAGCAAATTCTGAGTCCTGTTACTGGAGTTTGCCACTGGCCATCACGAGCATGGAGGCTCTGGGAAACATGAGGGCCACAGCATGACTAAGATGTAGACTCATTAATTACGGTCTAAGGGTCTGCTGAGGAGCAGGGACTTGAATGCAAGAGTCCAAGAGAACCTGACTACCATACTGTATGTTTTTTCTGTATGTCCCTTAAAGGATTTGGTATCTGTAATTTATATGAAATTCTTCATACTGTTTTTAGTTACGTTCAGTTTTCTCTAAAGAAGCGGTCATTCAAAGCATCCTCCCTCTGCCGTATGTTTCTTAGGCCCCCTGGTTTCATTCCCTCATTTCTCTCTCTCTCTCTCTCTCTCTTCCATTTCTTTCTTCTTATGTGTCTCCTTTTTTCCATCTGCATTTTCCTACAGCAGCACCCATTTCCTGTGGGTTTCATCACCACCTCCACCCTACTTCCATCTGTTGAAGAGATCAGCCACAAAGTTAACTTGCAATTACACTACCCGTGAAATTACACCAACACTTCCAGTGGCATTACTAAGCATTAAAATGAACACCCTGGTGAAATTAATGGGAGAGGAGGGAATTTGCGCCTTGCACAAACAGGTTGTTGGCAACCTCGGGTAAGTAAACCAGCAGATCCTCAGGTACATTCAGGTAGCTTAGAGAGGCAGAATTGCTTTTCAGCAGCCTAGCAGACACTCTGCACCTGCATGTGCCACCAGAGGCGGGGAAATACACCAAATGACCGGCCCCATCTTCAGGCTACGACTCTGACACCTCTGACAGAGCAATAGTGGGAAATGATGGTAATTTCTCTGTTGCAATGGTCAGGTATAGTTCTACCAGCTCGGTCTTTTTAACATGGTAATTTCTCTATCTGCTATGTAATTTAATAGATTTGTCAATGTTGGTGATCTTGTTGTGTGCTTTTCTTTCTCCCCCTCAAAAAAGAAATTGAGTTTTACAGAAGTCCAGTTTCAGGATTAGGCCAGCAAATTAGAAAAGCAATTTGAATTCCAAGGCTAGATGATCTGTATATACCAGCAATTTTCACAGTTACTCTTTGTGATTTATTTAATATTGTGTAAATGCAATTTGTTCTGTTGTTTTAATAATACTTCAGTGGATCATTTGGACTGATATATACAGAATGCTGTGCCATGGTATAAAATGCTATAGCTGCTTCTTCAAGATTATTGTAATAGTTTGAACAACCTAATTAGAAATGAACTGCAAATTTTATAAGTGAATTTCTGAGATAAGAAGGAAAAAATTCTCTACTTATCACAAGTATTAACTCTTAGCATTTAACTGCTTCATACACAAGGAAAATTACTAGTGGAAATTTTCCCATAATGGGTCTGATTTTTTCCAGCCTTTTCTATAACAGAGAACCTGCCCCCCTGAGAAATGCCTTTATCCTCAATTCCAGTTTTATGGGCATAAAAGTAAGGTGGAAGTCAATATTTATCCACACAGATGTATTTGGTAGGCCCATTCAGCCCTCAGCAAGGAAAAACTTGGTTGTCTACAAAATTTTAAGGTGCTAAATGAGACATCTCGGTTTCTGGTATCCTGAGAGCATCTATTGATGAAACAACCCAGAATGCTGAGAACTGAGAGGCTACCCTTGCCACACCTAGATAGCAGCAGTGTACAGAAAAAAAATAGAAGTTAATTGACTGTGTTGGATGGAAGACACTTCCTCTAATATAAACATGGTTGTGGGAATAACTGCACTTTTTTCTTTAATGTTGAAAGCTTTATCCTGTCCTGTGTGCCTGGTCCTTGGAACACTCACACTTGGACTGCATAATGCCCATAAATCATGGAGATGGCATTTCTTCCCCTAGGGAGTTTGGACAGGTGATTCCTCCCACACTTCACTTTCTGTGGGAAGTGCATAGACAAGAGCAGTACCTGGCAGAAGGGACTGCATTACATGCTTTCAGACTCTATCCATGGCTGTGTCAATGCTGAAGGTGACCCAGGCATATCCCAATCAGCTTTTAGGTAATTCAAACAGGAATACCAAGGCAGCTTGGTCTGTGTGGTGCTCTCCACGGAGCACCAGACCCACTTGAGGAGCCAGGCAGGTTCGTAGCCAGCGGATACAGAGCTCTGTTATTTGGATTATACTGCTCCTCTCCTCGAGGCTAGATGTTGTAAAGTTTATTCAGGTGACCTAAAACTGACTAACTATATTGTGACCATTCACTAATCATAGGCTCTAGACTAGGATTAAGAGTAAAAAGCTGATAGCACTCACAATTTTTCGGGTTTTGGTTTTTTTTGTTTTTTTGTTTTTTTAGATTTTATTTTAAAGAGATAAACAGCTGCTTTAGAGGATTTCTAATGGAACACTGTCCATAAACCTGCCATATTTTCTGTGCTCCTGTGAGAAAAACCTAGCTCTAGGACTTCATCCCACCAGTGTATCATTCTGGAAGATGAGAATGCTGCCCGGGCAGAGGCAGTAAGAGATCCCATTTCTAAACTGTATTTTTGAAGTACCAGAATAGATGGCCCTCACACTAATTCTGAGCAAGATCTTGCTTTGTCTGTGTTTCATTTTCCAAAATACCTTAACAGGAGTGAAAGCATAAACCCTGTATTTACTCCAAGGTAAGAGAAATCGCACAGTCATCATCTTTCGTACAGTTCTGTTTTCCACGGACTGGAAATAATATCGTAACACTTACAAGAGGCAGCATAAAATCCAGGAAACTGCAGAATGTATTACAATATCTTCAGATTCTGCAAAGGCTTCTTTTTCTTTCCTTTGATGAGCTGTAAGAGAAAGTCATCAAGAGTCACCAGCTCTGCCACCTGTGGTGCAGAAGCTTTCATCTGTGAGAAGCACCACCCAGTAATTATCATCACAACTTGACAAAATGCATCCAAGTAACTGTTTAAACTTCTGCTCATGTGAAGATCTAGGAAGACAGTGATCGAGGAAGTACTTTATAATTCTCCATTTAGACAGGAAGGAATAGAGAAAAATATGCTTTTCTGCATCTGAAGACTTCTAGTTTTGGTGGCTTTCTGCATGTAAGGTTGTCATCCTAACACAGTTTTTCTTTATTAACAAACAGAAAAGATAATAATAGGTAACTCCTATTAAAAAAATCCCAGGGGAAGCAAAGCACTGGTTATAATAGAGTTACTGCTGCAGCCTTAATTAGAGCATGGTGCAAATACCTCTGTGAAAAAAAATCAATGTAATGATGCTTTCCCATTGCCTTTTTTTTGGAGTAATTAAATGCAACAAAATATTTTGCATACTTCTGGAGACCAGGGCATATGGGACTGATTTACAAGTAGAAGTCAAAAGGATTTTCTTTAAAACCAATGCAGGCAGAGAGACAGCTGCTGGAAATGAAAGTTAAAATATATTTTAATTTTCACCACAGCAAAGGCTGAAGCACTTTTTGACTGTAAAATCTGAAATACAGTGTAGAATCTAACTAGATTAACATAGTATATATCTACTTCCCTTTTTCACCCAAATAGACATTGTTTCACCTCAGCTGAAACTGCTCTGGAAATTCGAACCCTGTCATTTAGTCTTGTGCTTTAAGATCCTGCATGTTTAAAGAGATTTATGTCCACACACACTGACAGCTGAAGAATCCACCTCTGTTGAATTCAGTAGGCTTTTCACTGGGTTTCTTTCAGCAGGTGACATCCTGAGCATCTTACTTTTTCCTCTATCTGCACTCAGGCATGGTTTCAGAGGGGTTTATCCAACATGAGGGCAAATTACTGAGCAAAGAGTTCAGAATCTGGCTGCTTTTGTAAATGATTCAAAAAAAAAAAAAAAAAAAAAAAAAAAAAAAATTGCATCTGGATCCTAACTGTGTCAACTCCAATGGCAGAGATTTTTTTTTCCCAGCCAAAGCTTGGCCTGAAAGTTCATGCAGAAAGACAAACTGTGAATCAGAAGCCTGCACCAGTGCCTCGGGTGAAGTGCGTACCAAGATAGCCTGCAGCCACATGCCAGTTTGCCATTGACCTTTTATCTGCATAAATAGTCCTGACCTTTGGGCTGCTCAAATTAGTGCAAGCTGCTCGAGCAGGCAAGTATCACAGCCCTCTGCTGTTCAGGCTGCATATGTTTGCCTCTTCCCTCTCGTGCCATCTCCTTCGCTGGGTAGTGAAGGCACATGAGGAAATGGGACAGCTTTCTTACCTCTGGGGACACCCTCTGCCTCGAAGGAAATCCACCATTGGCTGGATAGGACCATTCTAAAGCCTCATTACATCAACTCATTGACACAGAGAAGACCATGTTAAGGAGCTGACAATCTGCCTTTAGATTGACACTTTTCTGTAGGGCAAATAAACCTGCTTCTTGCTGTGCTTCTCATTATCTTTCATTACATAAAAGAAGTCCTAAGAGTTTTAAAATCAAAAGAGATAAGTTGTTAACAAAATAGTTATTCTTTTCCTCAGCCTCAGAGTGAGTTGTTTTTCTTAAAAAGAAAAGGTAGATCACTAAATCACTCTAATCTACTTTTTATTCACTGGACTGAATACTTGATAGGGTTTAATGCCCATTATTTTCTCAGTAGACCAGAGCTATCATGCTCTCTCATGTAAATAAACATTTAGTCCTATTTCAAAATGCATCACTTGTGTCCCTGAAATCACAGCCCTTTTAGTTATTTTTGGAAACAAGTATTTGCACAGTTTTACAAGCACATTTTTTCCGACTGTTTAAAAGAGGTTCTTCAGTTGCTTAATAACAATATTACTAGGACTGGGGGAAAGAGAGTGGGATATTTTTAAGGATATAAAGTAAGAAAAAAAATACAAACATTTTCAAGATTCTCCAAGATGCTGACTACACAGACACGTTTCAAAGGGAGGTTGCTATCTCTGAAATTTTCTCCAAAGCTCCTTTTTTCTTATTTTCTTTACCCAGAGCTTTTTTCTTTTTGTCTGTTTCAGTCATGGGCTACCAGATCCCAAGTGTATTTTTCCACATCGTGTATATTGTCTGCATTGATGCTTTAAAAATTCAATTGACTCTTACTATGCATTCTGGAGACATTTCTAATTGCATTAAGGAAGACTGTCAGGCAGGTAGTGAGACAGCTAATAAGTAGTCACCAATCCTAAACCAAAACTAAATTTGAGGGAGCCATCCTGCAAGTAAGAGTGGGAGCTGCATGCTGAGGCACGTGCTTGCTGCCTTTGGCAGATGTGTTGGAAAGGAGCAGAACTAATTGTTCTGCTGCATCATGTCCTTCAGCTCTACAGCAAAGTCTAACCCACAGATCTTCGGGTGAGCTGAATTTCACCCCATATTTCAGGGATATCTGCTTGCTGGAAGGGCTGCAACATCACTCATACAGTCCTCCATCAGCCACCCAAAAATCAAGTGTCCCATCTCTCTCCCAGAAGGATTGTATGGACAAGTGCCACAAGTTCTGAGAATGAGTCATGACGGTGTAAAAACTGCAGATGCATCTTTGTGCTGTGCAGTTGGAAGGGGTTCAAGAGAGGGTAAGGGCTTCTTGCTCCTATTTCCATGAGCATCTTCACAGAAACAAGACCTAGGGACTTACAAAGTAAATTTGCAAAATTACAGCATCTCCCTCTTTAGTTACACCTGAGAAAGGGCATGTATGTTTCATCAGAGTAGGAAATGAAGAGAGGGCCTGGAGGGCTGGTCTGCATCCCTCTCCTCTAGAGCCATGGAGCCCCTTACGCACAAGCTGTGCTACAGCTGCAGGGAGGAAAAACGTGGGCTAACCTTGCTGAAACACTGGCAGCACACCACTGTTTACAACTGGAATTTTTGCTGCGGGCTTTTACCAATGACAACTTAGGACAGGAATAGGAAACTTCACATGATGATGAGGTCAACTTTTTTTCACTTGTCCAGTGCCTCTAGATGAACACAAAGCTGCTGAAGTTAAGATTTATGATTGCTTGCAAAAAATTGAACTTGGGCCATGATTTTTAGCTGGCTCTTTTGTGTTACCTTTTATGGCACTTCCAGCAGCATACTCATTTGAAACTTTTAAAAGTAATATGTGTTGCTTTCATTTGATCCTCATTTTTGCTTCCCTGCTTGATTATCTGTGCCTGTCCAGGAGCAATTTTAAGTTGACCCATTCTCAAGTAAATGAGAGGACACTGTGTGTGTTTGCAAAGCATGTTTGTGTCTTTCATCTGTGATTAATATTAAATCTGTTGAACTACATAAATAATTCACCTACAAACCTGACAAACCAACAGTAATATTTTCCCCTCAGAGTTTACAGCTCACAGGTACCTTTTCTAATGGTTTAATTTCCTTTTGTGTACCTGGAGATAAAACCAGTGAGCTAGACAATCGTGCAGAAGAGGGAAAACTGCTTGGCTGTTGTTCTCTTCCCCCATCCCACTACACTCAACATACATAAACGTATATAAAAACATAGAGTGAGAATAAAATAACCACTTTGCATGTCACTTCTGCTGTCGTGGTTTGGGCCTGAAAAGTAGACTCCAGCTTGGTCTTCTGGTTTGAATGAGAGCCCTGTAAAATGATTTCTACCAAGAGACTAGAGGTCTGGTTTTGTTCTCATGCAAATGAAATTAGTGAAAATGAAATGAAATTATAAGCATAAAATCAGGGACAAATGAGAGGAAACTCTTATTTGCTCTTTTGTATTTGTATGGAGTTTGGCTCCTTACACACAAGGCAATGCTCTCGGAAGAGATGGAAAGCGTGTCAACAGGCACCTGGCCTTGGGAGGACCACAGCACTTCAGCCCTGCAAGCTGTGTGAGGCACACTCGCAGCTGGCTGTCAGAAAGTGGCTTGAAACAAAATAAACTCCCCGGACTAGGAAGCCCCTAAGAGCTAAGTAAGAGGAATCACTAAGTGCAGGGGGTCTATATGAAATCATATCCCCTCTCCACCTTGTCCAGAGGCCTATATCAAAGCTGTAGGAAAGGATGTCCTTCTAGCCAGGAGCCCTTTCCTAAAAATAATCATGTAGGACCTCTCTTTGGCAGCAAAGGCTTTTCCTCAGAATTCACCCCAGGATCACTTCAGGCTGTGTGCTGTGCTGGTACTGGGCTAAAGCTCTTTATCCATGGGCATTCTTCTCCGTCCACCATTAGCTGCATATGTAAAACCCTGCATAAGCCATTGTAGTCTCTGTGATCTGAGGGTGGAGAGTGGAATGGAAGAAATCTTGTAGCAGAATATATTTAGTTTCCATCTCTTCCAGGATGCTTCTTCACACCTCCCAGTTAAGTGCATCTAGCCCTGTACTGAGCCATGAAGTGCAGAAGAACCAGCAGAGCTTTCTGCCTCATTGAAGTGGCTCGGATTTATACTTCAATAAAGCAGCTTCAGTGCATAAAACATAAAAGAGACCCCTCCAAGTTATTAGAAAAAAGACATTTTAAACACAGTTCATAGGTGAGAACCTAAGTTGGTTCTGAATGCTATTCAGCAATACTGAAAATCAAATTTCATGTGTATTCAGAACTTAAAAATGGGATCAAGACTATTGGCTGAAAGGGCAGAAATCACATTAACTGAGCTGCCTTTTGCCTGCAATGTTTGGTCTTTGGTGTTTTTCACTTACCAATGCTACAGAACTTATTCCTTGTCCTTAAGGAGTGCTACTGAAGCCAGGGAGTAAACAGCTCGTGGTTATCTGCTGTTATCAAGGCCCTGAGAGTTTGAAATAGTTGTTATTCATTACAGCCACTCTGGGGCCATTTCATATGGAAACAATTAAGAGGCAAAAAGCATATCATAACAAAGGAATGAGTATAAAG